AGAAAGTGCGGGAAGTTTCGACATCTTCGCCCGCAAATTGAACTGGAAAGAACGAATAAGCGACGAGAGGGCGAACGAACAGAGGACGGACGGATGCGAGCGGATGATCCGTTCCCTCGTAAAATATATATATATATATAAAGGAAAAGAGAAAGAGACGGGTTTCTCGGACAATCGAACCGCGTAACAAAGTATCGACGTCCGTTTCAAAAACGGCGCGTAATATGCGCGTAATAATCGCGTAATCCAGCTGTTCCTCCGTGTACAAAGTTTCTGCTTTCATGGCCGGAAACGCATCATTTCTGCGGCCGGCCGGCCGGCTTTTGTAAACGACTGCAGCGCAGACTCGGGATGTGTCGAGGTGCATATATACATTTCTGCGTGTGTGCATATACATACAATTTCACCTCCCTCCCTTCCCCTCTTTTCCCGCAAGAAACATCGCACCGAGAAATCATTAATTCCAATTAAACGCCAATAATTAATTCAAATTAACGCAGATTCGCCTACATCGTACGGCTTAAAGCGGCGAAACGCTTTTGCTATGTGAAAATAAATGATCGAAGAAATCGGAGCACGGCGCGTATCACGGTTATACACACACAACTCCGCCGTTCTTCATTAATGCAAATGAGTTCTACTATGTTCGTGGCCGTTAGTCGCGCGATTATCTAGAAAATGTAAGAAAGTTCCCTTTTCACTCTAATCAGTGTCCATGGTGGTAATAGAGAAAATAAAGAGAAAGAGTGAAAAAAGGAGAAGCCGAGGTACATCTGGAGTTACATCTGCCGATCAAATACAAATAGATAATTCGAAAGAGAGAGAATATTTTTGTACTAAATATTATTTTTATCTATATCTTATCTATCTTATTATTATACCTTATCTTTAATTGTAGTCATTACCATATATATACGTAAAAAAGTACACGACAAGATATATGAAATAATACAACCCAGAAAAAAAATTAATCGATCATTGAGGAATGCAATAACCACATCATACGACAAATATTTTTCTCGTTTACATATATTTTTCGTCGATAAGATTGAAACGTTTCACAAAGAGGAAGTAAATTCTAATCAAAATGCGTGTCAAAATTCAAACTCGTTTTAACATGAGATAAAATCATACATGCCTCGCCCAAGTCTTCATCGACGCGTCCACGAACAAAAGTCGTAAAAAGCATACCCAAAAAATGTTTTTCTCCCTCTTTCTCGTATTACTGGCGCTATTTCTTCCCTTCCTTTTTACGATGACGCATTAACGACGACGCGAGACCTATTAACACGATTTCATCGGCGACACAAATCTTATGTTTCTGGAGAAAATCCTGGCGTGTGGCACAGGATCGCGAGACGATGCCACGTGCCACGTGCTGGCAGAGAATACTCTTTTTCTCAAGTTTTATGTTTAAAATTGTATGATTTTGAAAGAACGTTATGCAAACATCGTGTATATCGGCCATACCAGCATTCATTTCTCGATACGCTTTATCGCTTACATTTTTAAGTAATCTCTTTAACGCGTAAGTCTGAAGTTTGAAACGACTACAAAAGTGAAGTTAAATCTGCGTAGAAAAATGTCACGAATAAAAGTATCACACATTTTAGCATACATAGAAATTTTTCAGAAATTTTGACATCAATTTTCGAAAAATTTCAAAGTAGTATATAATAATTTTGTTAATAATAAAAATATGTATATAAATTTTGAAATTTTCTTCAAGTATTTATTCTGACTGAAAAGAAAGAATTACAGTCTTGGAAGAAAAGAGAGATAGCAATGTCAGCAAGAAAGAGAAAAAATGATCGTGGGTGATTCTACGTAGGGATAGCGCACGGTCACTCCTTACAATTCCTGGAAGCTGCAATTATATATAATATATATAGGTATATATATATATATATATACTTTTTTCATTTCCCTCGCGAGTCGAGTTCCCTCTCGAAGTCACGCGGTGCACAAGCTAACGACCTGGATAACCGGCTGTGATATTTCCAAAGTAACGTCATCGTTGACCACGATGCGACGCGAGGCGACGGGCCTGGCGACAGAAGCACTCATTACAACTTCCGGTCCAGGAGAGTCGTGAACGAGCGAGAAAGAGAGGCGTATGTAATCGCCGGTGTAGAACGGGGAGGAGAGAAAGAGAACCAACAACAACGGCGAATCGCGAGGGAAAGAGAAGCCGAGAGAGAGATAATACGAGAACGAGGAGAAGGGTTGGAGAGAAGGGAGAAGGGCGAGAGGGACGACGAGAGGTACGGCGAGCGAAAATGCTCAACAAATAGCCACATCCTCATAATGGAACGGCGTATCAAACTCATTAGACGTCATCATTGTGAATCGACACTATTACGTTCCGCAGAAAATCGCGATCTCGCGCGACAGCAACAGACGAGAAAACCGTTCGTAGAATAGAATCGGGGGGCCACACGGCACGAGAACACTCTCTCGCATTACGACGGCAATGATTCATGCCAGGCATGTCAAACTGGTTTCGTTGGCGGGCGACTGCTGGTCGAAAAGCTAATCGTAGCTTTATCTAGGAGACACAATGCATCTCGTAATAGAGAAATCAGGTCAGGATATGCAAAATACCGATATTTCTACTATATATATGGACGTGAAGAATTATTCATAAAATTTTTTGAAAAAATAAAAATTGTTTGAAGAAAAAATATCACGTACCTATATTTATACACACGGAGAGAATTTTCTCTTATAGAATTTATCCTGAAAATAATCAGTAAAATTAATCAAAATATTTTATATCTTATCAAACTCTTATATAACATTCTTCCAATGCCATATTGTCCCATGATTACAATGATTACCATGATGTTCAGGATTAACTCTCAGAATAAATTCTCTCTCTATGGGTACTCAAACTTGAAACTTCATATCGGCGCAAAAAATGCGGGAGAATCCGCGATTTCGAGGCAAATTATCGTCATCCTCCTTTCGCAAATGAATATGATCACGTTTATCGTCGCGTTGCGGTTCTCACGCGACGAGTCGATTAAAAAGCACGCGCGAAAGCCAAACGGAAGGGAGAATGAGCACGTACTCGAGACGAGGTGCGGAATTTCAAACGCGAGTAACCGCGGCCCGACATCGTTCTAAGTGCTCGGAGCCTAATGTTATATCGCCGCGGTCAGTATTAGCAGCTGCGGTCGTGACGACGACCGCGAAGCCGTACGTACGGCTTCCTTCCTGAGTTTCCGCCTCTCCTCTCCTCTTCTACGCGTAAAAGGGAGACTCGCAACGACTCCGATTACCGCGTCAGAGCGTTTCGGCGCCAATTCGCCGATCGATGTTTTTCGCGGATAATCTTTGCGCGATATGAGAAAGTAGGGAACATATAGGCTATGCATGAATGCAGAAGGTTCTTTCTCTCTCTCTCTCACTCTGTGAACGATATTGATCGCCGCCGATTATTCAGCGGCGCGCACAATTGCCGTTGACAGACATTAAAATTTAAATGGCAAGGCCACGTGCCGCGCCGTTGTTTGAATTTCTAAACATTCCGCGAGACACGAGGGCGAGACGCGCACGAACGCTATATGACGCGCGACAATATACATATAGGTATTGTTCGGCGATGTGATATTGAAAATTCCGTCGTTTGATAAATGCAGCGGATTCTTATCGTCGCCCACGGTACGATTAGTAAGATAGGCAAGAATATATATAAATATATTCTGTTGTTTGACGGAAAACGCCTCGCATGACATGTCCTAACTTCAATTGACTTTCTGTAAACACGGTGAGCGATAAACATTACAAAGCTTATCGATATATAATGATTCAAAAAGGATGGCTTATTGGCGCGATAACCGTATCTCGGAGAACGAAACTGCTTGTTTTGGGGAAACTATTGACGTCTTAACGATTATAATAGCCTCCTAATGATTGTATATTAGTCTTGCTTATCTATAGGTGTACCTAAATATATATCATATTTATGATAAATATTAAAATGCATCTCCATATTTCGGGCATTTTTCCTGGGAAAGCTATACATGGGAGAAACAAAAAATGCAGATTACGATATCGTCGGCACGGATAAAGAAGCGGCGAGACGAATCGCCGTTTCGTAGAACGATGACCAAGTCTTCAAGGTTGAGACCAAGAAAGAGAGAGAAAGAGAAAAAGAGTCATCGGTCTCGAGCATGCAATGCAGAACATAACGCGTCTTTATTTATGAGCAGCTCGTGTCGCATCGCGCGATGGAATCGTAAACACTTTTCCAAGGCGCCGCCGCTATTCAGACGGATAGGAGAGAAACGAAAAAAAAAGCCGAGGAAGCCGTAACGACCGCGACCTACGACAGGCTCGAAAAAGGGAGGGGATTCGCCCTCTCCCGCTCGTCCTGTCATGTCGCGCGCGCGCGCGCGCGAAACAAAATTCGAATGTAAATTGCTTTAATTGCTCCATCGCGCCCGGTATCAAGTTTCCCGCGGTGTGCGTTCGCGTTTACAGCCGTGCCAATGAACTGTCAGTGACGCTATACTCGCGCGCGACTCCGCCGAGCAGCCAACCAACGCGGACGTGCAAAAGCGGGGGAGACGAGAGACAGAGACGGAGAGAAACAACGCGACGCTATTTGGCATCGCGACGCGGTTTTAGAAAAGCATCGGAGAGACCGACGCCCCATCCCCGGCAATGACGACAAAGACTCGTCTGCTCTCACCGCGCGTTTACTGCCGGATGTTAAAGATTACGGAGATAATAAAAATCCGACATTTATAATGTACGCGCGCAAGAGGAACTCGAGCGTGACTTCGCTCGTATTTTGCTATTATATATTATATACATGAAAAAAAAAGAATTTCTTCTCCAAGTATTATATGCGTTTCACAACATACAGACGAGAGTTAACAGACGTAAAAACGACTGATCACGTGGCGAGAGTATGAGATAAAGAAACAGGATGCTCGCGCGAGAATGGGAGACATATATATATAAAATTTGAAAGGTTACAAACGACTCACCCTGTCGGCCGACAATCTCCGCCACGTGTTCGCTGCTAGGCACCGGCACGCACTCGGTCATGTTCTGGCTCTTCTTGGAACGCGCCTCCTCGAAGACGGCCGGCGTGGTCTGCAGCGGATCCGGATCGTTGGCGGTGTTGTTGCCGTTGCCGGGGCATCCGGACTGGTTATCCAGGCCGAGCAACGAGAAGGCTAGCTCGAAGGCGCGATTTTCCTCGAAGGAGGCGCTGTTCGAGTTGCGGTCCATGTCGAACAAACTCGTCGGCATTTCGCTCTTATATTATAATCTCTCGTATCTTCGTGCAATAAACACCGGTCGCGGTTGATTGGAAAAAAAATACGCGCACTTGAGAGTCCACGTTGCCGTTCACCGGGTATTTTAACGCTGTCGTCGACCTCGCTTCACTTCTCCTCCGTGGTCTCTTCTTTATCGAACAAACGAGGCGGAACGATTTCGTACCTTCTCTCGATGGCGACGATCGTGGTACGTCGACGACGACGACGATGATGATGATGATGATGATGATAATGGCCAAGTGTGAGACAATTTGAATATAGCTGCGAGTGTCGCGACGCTGCAGCAACGTCACGTCGTTCACGTTCGACGATTACGTACGCGTAAAAAAACGGAGATTCGAACAACCCGCACCGCGTGGGAGTAATAATGTCGTCGGTTCGTTTTTCGACGATCGTAGTGTGTATATACACCGATCCTCTCTCTCTGAATGTCGATTCGCGACGATGACGCGGTGTAGCAATCAGTCGCTCACTCGTTCCTTCTCGCGTCGGAGACACACGCCGGTCGTGTGATGCGTCTCGTACGTAACCCGCGGACCAGCGACGAAAATGGCCTTCTCGATATCCCCACTGCTCTACTGTCTTGTCTCTCTATCGGATGCGTACGGTTTTGTACGGTTCGTCTGTTCCAAGAGCAGCGTTCGTATAATCGCTCTCGCACGCGCGTCACTAGTATATAATCGCGTGTGTTTCGACCGATGCTTTCGTTCGTTCGTTTCTCTCGCTCTTCTCTCTCTTCACCCGAAGACCGAACGTGAGGTACAACGACGATTTCGTATCGCGTTGTTCGGCTATCTCGTACAACCGGCCGACTGACTTGAGCGTAGACCGAGAGGTTGAGTCGTCGCGCGAGACCGAAACACTGAAAACAGAGGCAAGGGGCTGCGCGCTCGCTCTCTGTTTCCGCTCCCTTCTTTCCCTTTCCCGCTCGTGATCCTCTCTTCCTCGCTCCCTCCGTCTGTCCCACGCTCTCTCGCTCACCTCTCTTCACCACGATCTTTCCTTTCGAAGGCGCGTGCAACTACCCTCTCGCTCGTGTTACCACTGCGACTGACTGCGACGTACTGCGCGAGTCGAAGCCGGCGGTCCGCCATGTGCCGGACGCCGGCTATGCGCGCCGCCTATTGGCCGCCGCGAGTCACGTGGGACGAGGCAACCCCTCCCCACTCCCGCGCACGGCGCACCGACGACAGCACACCCTACCGGCGCGGCGGAGCAACACCGTGAGCGACCGACGACGTTCCACGGCTACATGGACGAACGCGTGCACTCTCGGCCTCGATTGTACTTCACGCAACCCTCTCCGTGTTCGTGTATCCGTTCCGAGCCTTCGCCAAGTTTCCCTCTGGAAATGCTCGCCGTTTATGCACGCTCTACTCCGCTCATTTTCCCAAACGGGCTGAAAAAGTACAGGCTCGAGATGTCAATAACCCTCCTAGCTCCTTTCGCAGATTACCCCTAATTCGATATCTCGATATAAATCGATCGTTCGCGATCGCGAATCGATCTTATTTTGAATCATTATAAAAAGCAAAATTTTGCATAGATAAATACGATCTCGAATCGATGCTTGCTTCTTCTAGCATCCTGTACAAAGTTAGGGCGTGAGTTCTCTCTCTCTCTCTCTCTCTCTCTCTCTCTCTCTCTCTCTCTCTCTTCTCTCTCTCGCTCTGGCGAAATAAATATCTGCGACGATATATGATTTTCCTCGCGAACGGGTCAAAGTGCACCGACCTAGGTGGATCGTATAACGCTCTTTCTCCTCTTCTCCCGTAGCTGTCACATGCTTTGCGCGCGTATCCGTGTGCGCACCAACACTTTTCCCGCGCGGTTATCTCTTCATTTTAACGGGAAGATAACGTAGAAGAAAACCTTTATATAAATCCTAAGGTGAATAATAGCAACTCGTCCTTTAGATCGTAAAATGCACGCTTGAATTACCGCGACTATCTATCTGTGTGGGCGCGCGTTGTAAATTAAATATTACATCAAATGTATCCTCCGGGAAGGACCTAAAATTCGCGTACGTTCATAGCTCTCGCGATTTACTTAATTGAATCTTCCGCAGAGGAACGAGAGGAATCTCTTACGACCTGTCGCGATAAGTTCTCTCGATTAACGTCCTTGAACCTTAGTAGCGGATGAGATTGTAGCGTGTTACCTCCGGCTATAGGAGAGAATTGCTGTTGAACATTCGCGCGATCAATGTTACGATTTAGTTTCTGTTGAGCAAAGTCTAAAACATTATCAAGTTCATTATTAATTCTGCAAACTTGACAATAATATCATGCACTAATTATATATCTTTGTCTTTTTCATTGTCCATAATTTATGTACAATTAAATAATTTTTCAAATCCCACATTACATTTTAATATAATTCTTTGTACTTTTATTATCGCATCATTATATTTCGTTCGCGTGTCAGACTTTCCAAGGACAAACGATAATCGATACATCAGATTTTAAGGTATGAGTAATATCTCGGAATTTCTTGGATGACCACTCGGATATATACTCGGCTTTGACGTACCTAATCCGCGCTGACGTGAACAAGGTCGAGCGAACGTTCGTCGGCTCCCCACCTCTAATTCGCGAATCGCAACCGGGTCCAGACGGGCCACCTGCCCGACTAGCGGTTTCGTTAAGTAAGAGTGAAAAGAGAATTCCGTCTCCTCTCTAAAACACACCGAATCTCTAGACGCGCGAAGAAGCGCGCGCGAGCGCGGACCTTGAACCGAGACGCAAGCGTGATCCCATTGTTCTCTGCCGACGACCCTTCGTCCTCTCCCCGACCGAGCACTCTCTGGCCGATTGCTCGATTTTTAGTCGCGGGGAAGAAGGGAAGGAAGAGGCCCGCACACCAGATCGGCCCGTGTCCTCCATTCTCGAGGACAGACGGGAAACGACGGGAGCCCGCCAGCGATCCAGGAATATTCGCGATTCATTGTTTTCCATGTATCGGATCGGCTCGTTAGAGCGCACGGTGAACGCTTTGTTGTTCGATGCAATCGCGTAATCGCGATCAAATAAGAGGGAGCAGAGCGTTCTCCATGCGAGAAAGCGAGAGACGAGACTTCGCCAAGACTTTCGGTAAAGGCCTACCTGAATTCGCTCGGAGGTGTGAGCGACTAATTTTGTTTCTCATCGCATGCCGAAAGCAACGACCCGTGCACTTCTCCTGCCGATCTCTCTTTCTCTCTCTTCAAGGTTGTCTCGAGACACCAACCACCTTGTGCCACAAGAGCACCTGCCGACTGCTCGTGCTCTCGGCTCGCTCGTAAATACCTCGGTGTTATCGCACGTATGGTTTTACAAACGTTCGCCTCTTTCCTCGCCGGGATCGAACCGACAGAGTATCGATATTCGCGCGAACGTGTCACTATTAATCGCCGCCGATTATTTTATTAATCATCGATTTATTCCGGAAACTGATTGAATGTACTAGCTGCGCGCTGCAAAATTCGAGAAAATCATTATTTCAAAAAGTCTTCGTCATTCACAAGACTGAAAACCAAAACGCACCGAAAATTCTATTTCCGTCCTAAAAAAATGTTTTTCTAACGATAAAAGGAAACAACACAAAAGACAAGAAATCCGTAACGTCGTGCATAAAGTCAGTGGGAAAAATTTGTCAAAGAAAAGGTCGAAACGACCGGATATTTGCCCATCCGTAATCCCTAAATCTTCTATTGTTACTAGCTATAAGAATTTCTAAGAATATTGAAAGAGAGGAAAGATCGATCGTTTTGACATCCAAGACAATAAGGATATGGCGCCGAAGGAAAGGCCGGATGTGCGGCCTGCTGAAAAAGAATGCGTCTCGCATCGTTTCGCTTTTCTGGCCAGTCGACGCATTAAACTAACTCTTTCTCTGTTCCGCGTCGCTCGTCGCATTTTTACGGCGTGCAACCGGTTGCGATCATTGTCGTCGCTTTGGCGACTCCCGTGGTGCGGCATCTTCCTCGCCGATATACAGGCGGATAGACGCATCGCGGTCGCACGCGTATGCATGCGTACCTACGTACGTATATACATATATATATAAGTATGTACTTCTTTCGATTTCGATCGCCGAGGTGCAGCAACGCCGGAGAACCGCATTGCTGGCCTCTGAGTCGACACCGCGGCGACTAGGACGACGACGTCGAGGACGATAATCGCCTCGACACTGTCGCGCGAGAAAATCTCTAACATCTCTGTAATTTTTATTCGATATATGATTGAGTGAAATTGACGTAATATTCTCTCTCGTTTGATTACATCGAGAAGAGAGATTATCGCATAAAATTGCGTGTGTCAATTATGACGTAGCGGCGCAATTACATAAAGCCTTCGTGAATCGAGCAACTAAACGGCCATTCCGCTTTCACGTTCCTCGAGGCGATCCGAGATAGAGAGAGAGAGGGAGAGAACTAATACGATACCGACGTCGAATTATCTCGCAATGCGCCCGATATTGATTGCCGGTCTAATGTCTGGTTATCCACAAAATCGCGCGGGCAGACGCCCACACACTCGCTCGCTCGCTTGCACGCAAAAGGTAGAGATCTCTGCGGCTACCGAAACCGCCGCGGTGCCGTGTATGTAAGATAAGTTGCACAACGGCGAAAACGCACGAATAGAGCGTGGTTAACTGATGATAGCGCGAATAAAGTGCAACGCCTTTCTAAATATACCCCCGCGCAAGACGAGAGCACCATTCGCGGATGTTGCTCTTTACGTTTCTTACCAGACACACAATGTTTGTCATTCGTAGGAGTTGCACGCTTAGAATTCGATTTCGACTCCCCTCATCTCGATAATACATACACATGTATATACAATGTATACACGGAGAGAATTTTCTCTTAGAATTTACCCCGAAAATCATATTAATATGTACATACATAGTAAAATTAATCGAACATATTTCAAATCTTATTGTGGTAGATATTAATATTTTTTATTGATAGAATTTAGCGATCAAAAAATATTAGAGAAACTGTTGTTCCAATACCATATTGTCCCACGATTACCATAATTTAAGGGTAAAATCTACGAGAAAATTCTCTCCGTGTGCTCACTTCAACTTTTTTACATTATACAAGACAAGATATTTTTACAGTTGAGACGAAACAGTTTTTGAAGAAAATATCCGATTTCTATATTCTGTTCTTTCTTAATATATACAAAAGCAAGAATGGCATGCTGGCATATACTATTAAAACTGCAAATTTGTCTTCGAAAATATGTCAGGATTTGGAATAAGACGACGGGGGGTCTGGACGCAAAGAAACGGAAAAACTGCGGCGACCTTTGATGCAATACCAAGAATTTTTCATAAAACCGTTGAGTTCTAAAAATCTAACAATAAGTGGAATTTTTCATTATTGAAAATGTAGTTTTCACAGACAAATAAGACGACTCTTTCGGTGAAAACTGATATTTTGCATAAATCTTTAAGAAACAGTGAAATATAGAATTCGGATGTATTATTTCAATATAGATTTGCGTACTATATATTATTTATCGTATAATTATACGCAATTATTTTTTTATAAATTAAACTCTGCACCAGCATGTTTGTTACCCAGTCAACTTTTGGAGTAATATTTCTTTCTATTGTATAATTACTTAATACTAACTTTATATTTATACTATTTCGCTCAATAAAATTATTATATTATTGTTATTAGCTATAAATGCCTCGATTAACTGTATATAAATATTCCCATACAGCACCGATAGATTGCAAAAACATTACAACAATCTTTCACCGCAATATTGCAATATTGCAAATTCACTGCAAAATGTTGCTACATTATTGCTGTTGAATTGCAGCAATGTTAAAATGTCCGCTTTTTGGAAGATTGCAACAAAATATTACAACAATATTGCAATATATTATGAGTTTGCAATAATGCATTGTTATTGCAACCATAAACTAATGTTGCATATGCAGGTATATAAATGTAAATAAATCATTAATGAAAATACGTTGTAGTTAATTTATATATATTACAATATATAAATTATAGAATTTTGATTACATGCAATATTTCCAAAATATTAATGTCATGTTGCTACAAGTGTGCTGGAATTTTGTGCACCTATATCTCTGCAATGTCTTTATAATGTTGCATTGCAACTTGCAACATTGCAACGTTGCTGCAATATAATTGCAATAATCTGTGCTGTATGGGTTTCTTTATCCTTATAGGTATTTGCTTTTTCTCACTAATTTTTTTCTAGTTTACTCTATAGTATTTTTTATATTAATATATGTATGTACATGTACATGTGTGTGTACGTACTAATAGATGAAATAGTATATATATATATATATATATAGAAAATAAATGGAGAGACAGAAAAAATATATAAAGTAATTAATCATTTTGTGAACCATTGTCATTTTTGATAAATTATTGTGCGCATGATTCTACTACGGTGTCCAAAATTTACAAAATAACGCGTATTATCTATAAAAAGAAAAAAGAAAAAGAATAACAAATTAAAAATAAGAGAAGAATGCGGGTACCCCGCATGGAATAGTCGCTTTTCGCATAGATTTCGGTCTCTCAAAAGATTTCCCACGGAGCTATTTTTTTTCAACATTTTTTCTTTTCTGCAAAACGAAAAAGACATAGACACCGGAAATCAGCAGGTAGTCTGACAAGGGAGGATACCCGCATTTTTATGCACAAATACAAACAAAAGATGTAAAAGATTCGACCAACAATTGTTACACAAACATCAGACGACGTTTGACAGTTGTAAAAGAAAATAGTTGAATATTTTTCAGATCAATTCTCTTTTATACTCTAATCATTGTAAAAAATATTATATAATTCTTAAACACGTTAGAAATGGCTCTTGGTGGAGTCGGTTCAAAAATAACGTATACAGATTGCATTATTATCTCGCACGTTATAACAAAAAAAGACTCGATTGCGCTCACGCAATCGATGAAAGTTTAAATCGCAGAAGGCGAGTTAAAAATGTTTCCCTTCTTTTTTACGGCGACTCATTTAAAATCCTTTATGTAATTATGATGTCTTTTGTGCTGACGGTATTAAAAGCGGAAACGTGGAGGAAGAGAGTTATTTTCTGTTCGCGACATTGCGAGACCCGGTGAAAATGGAAAGAGCACGATCGTGGTTATTAGGCGCGTCCGCTCTCCTGTCCTCTCCTCTCGAGGAGGGTCCACGAGAGAGAAAGTCTGTCGACATCGATTACGTATAACAGTCGTCGTTGGGAGTCGAAGGTCCTCCAGCTGTTCTCTTCCGTGCGAAGCGCGCGATGGACCAACGCCTCCTCCTCCTTCTCTCGGAGGAATCTTCTGTGCTGCGACAATTTTGCACGAGTTATCTCGCGAACGTTAAAATCGCGCGTCGCTCTGTCCTCGCGTAGATAAATCCGAAATACTTCGCGGCCAGTAACCCCGATACAAATAGTATAGTCAAGTCGGTCAACTTCCGATGGTCGAATATACTGTCTGCGCGAAGATCGATAAAACACGCTGTAGAGGAGGGTCTATTTATATGTCGGCTATATTACATTCAAGACAGCGGGGGATGTAATCTTCGATGTGCTCCAGATAAGGTCTTTACACGCGATGCATCGAGCGTTGTACGTTAAAAAAAAAAAAGAAAAAATCACGCGTTGAAAATCCGATCCGTGAGAGATAATTGCACGGGCGCGAAGCGTTTGACGGCGCGGAATTAAATGTCGCGTAAATGTGAGCGATATCGATATCGACAGGCTAAAAAAAAAGCATGGTCAAACGCGACGCTAAAATTTCCGTAATTCGGTAAATTATGCACGCGCACGCGTAGGAACGTAGGTGAGATTATTTCGGGACGTGTCCCATGGCAATTTCAATTCCTCATTCGTCGCATGATATCCGCATTTATATTCATGCGCATCATTTATTATACATACGAAATTCCGGTGGGAGTTAAACTGCATTCTCTGTACCTGAGTTTCCGAAATCCGCAAGGTATCTAAAGTTTTCTCCTAGAGATGAGACATAATTCGCGACGATAAATATGATATTATATATATATACGTACATAAATGTATTTTATATATATAATGTATTAATCATTTATAATTATCCGAAAGTTATTATAGGCACTTGTCTTGTATCAGTGAAAAATCATTTTCCAAAAATTATGATCGTCTTTATAAATGCAATTCTTCCATTATTTTTTTTCTGCGTTTTTTTTTGTGAACCGGATGTCGCCTTCGCGCATAAATTATAATTATTGCAATGCGCGATAGCGCGCGCTATTGATCGCTCGAGATGCAGATTCAGGATGCAGACAGCATCGATTTGACGATGAATTTTCCCGTCGAATCGACGATGCGCGCGGTTTCGTCGTCGCCGGTGCTCATGATATGATATCCGCACCGGATGGATCGTCGGTCGAGTCATGTGTTCGACGAGTTATAACGATTTAAACTGGGACATGTGCCCCGGCGACGACGGTGGGGCGAGAACGGCTCTCTCTCCGCCTGGTTGACAATAAGGGAGAGCGACCCTTGCCGAGGGAAACAGCTGTTGGTCGGAGGTGGAGAAGTACCGGGCAAAGAGAAAAAAAGAGGTTACCACCTGGTATCCAGCTTATGCTTATATACCTGAAAACTGATGCCTGCCTGTATACCTGCCTCGGTATTCTTTTGTGCGATGCCCTCGGCACGTACCCATTCCCAGAGCCATGGCAGCATTCGATACACAACTGCATTCGGCACAATATACAACTCTAATAACGTGACCGATGTATTTAATAATGATGCATCGAAAATAGTTTTGGGCAAAACAACATTTTTGAGAAACAGCATAGTTTTGAAGATTACCTTAAAAGATCCTACGAAAATCCACAATTTACATATTTTTTCAAGATTATTTTTTCTTCGTTAACATTCTTTGCTTCTTCAGGCATACTGTGTTCATTTATTATGCAGACAAAACGATAAAGCATTTACATAAAAAATTCCTGTCGGAAGGATTTTCTAAGTTAATCCTCGAAACTGCTTTCCAAATATTGTCCCCTTTAATTACTATTGTTCTATTGATTCTTTGTCAATCATTATTCAGAAAGAAAGTTTTACTATGTTATATTATTTTTGTGCCATGATGTCTTGAGACGACGTGCTGCGCTCAAGTTCAAAAAAATATTTCAAGACTGGTCAATTCTTGCACGGCCTTCACAGGCTAGACTAAAAGCGTAGCTAATTTGCATAATTAATATGAATGATTTGCTAATCTGATTTTCTGAAATAATCTCGATTTAAATTAAACACACTACACTATCAAAAAGAGAATCTTTAGTTATTAAATTGGAAAGGAACGTATAATGTAATTTCTTTAAATTTTATATAGTGTGTGTGTGTGTGTGTGTGTGTGCTACGTAATATCGTTAATATCGATTCATTTCCATTCGACATAGAGCTAAATGTAGGATTTTTGCCATCTGCCGAACTTAAATCCGAGAAATTATCTATTTTCGTGACCATTACTAATTTGATCAAATTCCCACATGAAAAATATTAGGCAGATGGCACAATTCAAGCCATTTGAAGGGCCGCAAAACAAAATTATTTTCGAGTTATAATGGAAAATTGGCTCGCAAAATTGGCCTATTACAAAAGATTCAATTGCATGACCGAATCTTTCACATTGTTGACTTTTTCGTTTTAAAATACATTTCGAGAAAATCAGTCGATCTCGTGCTTTAAATAGCCATCGAATTTACCTTTTGTCTCTTTCCCGGTTTTCCTTTTTTTTTTACAAAAACATTTATTACAAAAAAATGGCAATGGTATAATTTATAACTTAAAATTAAAAGATGAGCAAATGATACGCATAAATATTTGTAATTTAAGTTTGAACAGCACGTAAGGCGTCTTGTAACTTTTTTCTCGCAATAGCTACTCGGTCTTCTTGCCTTTTTATGTCCTCGTCCGCTATCGAGACCGCCTTCAACACAAAACATAAAATGATCAATTTATTTAGTAATATTAATAAGATTTTTTATAAAGATTCCTGATATATATTGGATGCAAACTATTCTGATATCATTAGCATATTAAGATGCACTATTATGGCGTCAATTAGCATCCGATTATTCACCTTACCTGTACAAGTGGTTGATCAGGATTAAGAAATACTCCAGGATTCTTCTCCAAAGCCATTTTTGATCCTGTTTGTCCTGTGACTGGCTGAGTAGATACGTGTAATGCGGTAGCCACACTTTGAAGTAAAGTTTCTTCCGTAATATATGGTCCTACTGGTTTTAAATTCTTGGGCAAGTCCATTCCATCAAATTCATAACCATCAGAATCGCAGGCTCGCAAACCTTCTAATCGTTTTTCCCAGAAAAGCTGAAAGGCAGAAAATTTGATTATCTATGATTAGTCCATCAACTTTTTTACACAATTCGTTATTATAGTAATAAAATAATACAAACTATGAAAACAAATCATTCTCAGTACACAAAAATAATATAAAATTATATCATTGTGTTTTTATCAGGTATGTAATAGGCATGTTTGTTGAATGCCATTAATTTAAATTAAAAGAAGGAAAGATAAAATTACAAGTTCTCTCTCCATTTGCTTTCAAATATTAAGAAAATCATACTTCTATGTTATTATTATAAAAAATTTAACAAATTATTTAACAACACACATTAAAAATAAAATTATTGACAATTTCATGATTGTATGTTCAGAATTACCTGCTTAGGCTTATCTTGGGAGCCAAATTTGCCGTCAGTTTTATCGGCTCCTTCCTAAAGCAATGATTTGACAGTTGTATCATGTAAATTTACAAGAACAGTTAACGAAGAATGGTACAAATGAATGAATGTAAGCAAAGTGTATCTTGCAAGCATGATACAAAGATTAACAAATTTCACACTTAAGAATATATTCGTAGATATATTTACAAATGTATAATAATAATTACTGGATATCATATGTATGGAGATTGTACATATGAATAAATGAGATGTGAGAATATATATGACAAAAGAATTTGAATGGATATATTACACTGATCCGCAGTCTGATTAGCGTATCATCAATTTGGAGAAATCTCTGTATAAACTAACCTGTTTTGGTTTCTCTTGAACGTTGTGTTTAATATCCTTCACTTTTCCTTCTTGCGACTTGTAAATCGTAACTGGTTGTTTAAAAATCGACGCTGTTTGTCTGATCGGTGGTACCAATGACGAGTCATTTCTAGCCCGGCTGAAAAAAGTCAGTCAGTTTACAGAAGATATATATTATTTTTAATTAATCTAACGTGTCGTTAATTATGCAGTATAATGCATTATAGCTATATAGACACTAATTTACGAAAGATAGCTCTCATCTGAGGTTAGGAATTCTTTATATCTCCAATTATATTCGTTCGCACAAGCATTATTTCAGTTTTACAAACACTGAAGAATCTGCGAGTCGCGCAGCTTCACGTAAGCTCGAATAGAGTTTCCTGGGAGAATCATTTGATTCAACCTACCCGTAATAATAATCCTTCCCCGTTGTGGACGTTGTCAACTGATTTTGGCTCTTTCTCGACGGTTCCTCTCGCGCGTGCCAATTGATCGGTAACGCCGAAGGGTACTTCTTCTTCTCCACGGACATATTCATCGTGGCGAATATTTGCGTTTACGTAATTTGTCAAAAATCTTATAATTCCAACTTTATTATGATCACTGTGCCTTCGCTGTCAGCCATATTGAAGCTCGCGTTCTGCAATGCGTTCGAAAATCCGACTGCTCGTGGCACAATTGCGTTTACTCGACCAATCAGAATAAAAGTAACTAAAATTCCTTTGCTCCGATTGGTCATTCAAATGCTACTCTACCCAAGGATAGGATTTGTGAACGCACCCCACAAGTGTCATATGACGTCACTGCTTGCGAGTTCAATGAACGAATAATTATATTTATATATTAGGAATAAAAATCAAATGTTTAAATGCTTTCTCTTCAAAACACGCTGAAGCAAACTTTATTTATCCCAAAAGCGTCTTTAAATTCAATTCCCTTCTTTTATAACATCGTAAAAATGATCAAATTAGACAAATTATTAGGCCTTTCAATTTTAAAGACGCAATTGTTCCTAAATGTTTTCTATCAATATTCTCGAATTATCAATGTATCATTTGTCAAATAAATTTCAATCGAATCAATTTATATAAAAAAATTGCGCGGTAATCATCAGAATTTTCATCGTGAATATTTTGAAAATAAAGAATTAAAAGTACCAAGTTCTTAAATAAGATGCTGCTGTATTATCGCTGTAATTTTTTTAAAGAAATACCTCGAGTTATAAAGTATTTGATTAATGATATACATACATATATATATATATATAGGGGATCGATGGAATATGGGAATCAGCGAACATATAATGTCAATTCTTTTCTATAGATATAGAGGATTTTTAATTGCCGAAAGAAACAATTTTTTTCGCGTAGCTATAGGAACAACTTGTGAACAGTGCTTGGAAAAAGATGAACGCTGTTTGTCTTCCGTTTATTACGAACGTATATTTTTTTCTTTCCCACGGCGGCTTTCGTACGCTTTTCGCGGAGTGCAAAATGCGAACACGGAGACGCAATTTAACATATATATATATGCATATATATATATGTATACAATACGAAACGGGGGGGGGGGGGTAGGAAAGGGATGGAGGGGGAGGGGGCCACAATCATTATCGCGGCTATGCGATTCCTTATCTTGCGTAATGCTTCTTTCTTTTTGCCCACAGTGCGTGTGTTATTCTCAACTGTAAAAGAATATCAATTCTGTACAAGTCAATGAGTTAGAGATAATTAACTATTGAGTCTTCTTGAGGTATCGTTGTTTCTATTGGTCTATATGATCGGAACTGTGCTCGTCCAAAATCGAATTCCGGAATCGTGTATCGATTCATCAGTCTGCGTATCGTAAAACGTGGAACTGCGTTATCGTGTCCGGCAGAGCTTTTATCGTTTTATCGCGGCAGTATTATATTTCCGAAATTGAATTTCGGACGATCACACAGCGGTGTCAACATGTTATGTGCCTTCCTGTAACAAAATATAAATCTCCATTACGCATCACCCGCTTTCACCATACGGTTTCCGAATAATAATAATGCGCTAGCTAGTACCCTAAGTCCAGACGCACTTCTGGCTTTGTAAACTGCACCGAAGAGTAGTGTAAGAGTTGCTCAAGTGTCTCTCTCGCCTCGTTTCATGTCGCCTCGTCGTTGCAGTCGTTGTAGACGGGCGCGTGATGGTTAAGCCTAGGGTCATGATGAATAGTCACAAAAATACTTTATCGAATATTCTGCAAAATCCGCCCACGAACGTGGTCCGCTCGCTCGTGTATATGTGTATGGGAGTGTGTATTTTACGAACATATGCGTGTTTGTGTGAATGTGTGAGTGATATATATATATATATATATATATATATATATATATACATATATATACATATATATATATATATGTATATATATTATATATATGCCTATTATGGCAGTCAAGACTTGCAAACAATGTACATTATATCAAGAATCCACGCGCATACGGCGCAACTTATGTAGAGTTTCTATTTGTATTCGATACCACTTGTGATAGCCGTATGAAAGCCAGTTTCCTAATTAATACGCGTAATTACCGCAAAAGATCAAAAAGTATCTTTCGCCGTTTTATTTATTTTTTTTTCTTTATCACTGTCTCCATTCGCGCGACACGTATTTATAAAATCTCAATTACAATAAAGTCTTAACGGCAGACGCAACAGTGCCATATAATTATGAAAGAATCGTTATTTAAAACTGAAAGTGTAATAAGTACAAATTATTCCTCTTTGTCGGTGGTAGAAATGTCAAAGATCACATTGTTGGCTTCTATGCCGATGAACATACCGCGTTAATGTACGTTCAACATTGTTAGCGTGATCGATACTTATCGATTTCTCATAGCCCTACAATTCCTTCGCTACATGACGTAAACATTCCGTCTATATGTGTGCTCAATATATTATGTATAATTCTGCGACACAACATACACATCCCTACTTTGACAAGTCTACAACATTAGATCAGCGTTCCGTACGTATTCAGGTATTTCATCGCGGTGTACGTTCCGTCGTTACTTTACGAGAAGGATCTCATATCCGACGAAACGCACTGAATTCCTCGTTCCATATTCCCTCGCAATCGCGCACGCACAAAAGAACCTAATTATAATGACTCTATATTACATCAGTAACATATTACACAAGCGACTTCATATCGCCTCCCACGTTAAATATAGTCGGAGGGCACTTGCACGCATTTGTTTCTCTCATATTCTCTCCATTCACTTCATTCTACTTACGATCATAGACTCTATACAATTTTTATACAGCCAGACGCTGCAACTTTTATATAATTATATATCTCCGTAATATTTTTACATACCACTTTCTGGTAATTTAATTGCTTTGACAATTCTTTACCAGAAACGTGATATTTAACTTGGATTCCCGTCGAATATAGCGACCATAGTACATCGACCAAGTCTTGTCAATTCTTATTAAATTAATTCAATTGATTTGCCGCGTAGCTTCGTGAAGTACGAGTCACAATTCGCGCACAGGAAATTAATCCTTGTTTCAATTCCTCCGTCATAGCTCAGTTACACTTGTGATCGTCACAAGAAACTTTAATGGATGTTGCGTAAATATTAAAATGTATCGTCGAGTCAATGTGTGGTTCAATATATCACTTCATAGACGGTGGCTTTCTTGTCGCCGGATCCTGTCACGATGTACTTGTCGTCCGTAGAAATATCGCAGCTGAGCACCGAGGATGACTCCTTGGACTGAAAAAAAAAAAAAAAGGAAATAGAACCGCTTAGAATATTACACTCTGTGAAATGAGATAATAAAAAATAGATGGTACGCGTGTAGAAAAAAAAGCCTGACAATGTCGTAACAATAACCAACCTGGAAAATCGAGGCCCCATACGGCGTGCGCCACGCATTAAGTAAATTGTCTTTGCCGGTGGAGACGAACCACTTGCCACACGAAGCGAAGCGTAACGATAGCACGCAAGACTCGTGCAGATGTAGCTGATACTTGTCTGGCTTCGTGGCGTGGAGTACCTCGACATTCGAATTCTCCATACCCACGGCCAACCATTCGCCGGTCGGGCAGTATCCCAAGGAGAATATCTGAGATGTAAAGTCGTGCTGCTGAAGTTGTCTGCCTTCTCGAAGATCCCAGGAACGTACGGTGTTGTCGAGACCGCCTGTCCAGAGTTTCGAGCCATCGGCGGAGATGTCGATGCACGAGGCGCCATCCGTATGACCTTGGAATTGTCTGACCAATGTCTGATTCTGCAGATCCCACACCGCGATGTTGCCGTCACTGCAGCAGCTGAAGCAAACCTTCGAGTCCGGCGATATAGCCAGGGCGTAACACGCCGGTGCCGAGGAGGTCAATTCAGCCTTGATTCTTGGCGTCGGACTCGCCAAGTCCCAGATGCTGAGATTACTCGCCTCGCCGCCCACAATCAGCGTTCTCCCGTCAGGTAGCAGTTTCACCGACCTAGTAATATCGAACAATGAGCGTTGTATTACTAGCGTTAATCCCGTTAAATACCGCCACTTATGCACGCTTTTAAATAATTATTACTCTCGCGCACCGAGTTGATACGGGGGCGAGGACGGGCAGGGCAGGGCAGGGCAGGAGGAAAGGAGGGAGTTAAATGCATACGGAAAATGCACGCGGTAAATCGATGCCGCGGTGCTTCGACGGATGATATACAGCCGGCGGACACGACTAAATGTCATCGAGAATTCAGTTGGAAATTAATTACATAGACCGCGTTTGGTAGTTAATGTGTGTCACGAACTGCGAATGAAGACACATGTTACCCCATCACTGACCTGATGTAGTTGTCTCGTTGCAAGCAATCGAGCTGGGAGACTGGTTTCGCGCTACCGCTACCGCCCTGACTGATGTCCCACACCTTGACGCAACCCTTGCCACCGGTGTAGACATACTTGGTGGGATTCGAGATCGTCACGGCGCAGACAACCTCGCCGTGAGTGAGCGTGTTTATTTGTCGCGCGTGACGCGGTATGCCTGGGCCAATGAGTGCGTCCTGCGGAAACGGCACGGGCTGCATCTGGCCTTCGCTAGACACGTGAAAACTGTACGCACTGCTATGAACAAGAAAACAGATTTTTCCATAAAAATTGCGATAAAGATATATTAAAACGATGACGATAATAAGACGGTTATTATAAAGAGGAGAAACACTCACGGTTTGCCACCGGGAGGCACGCCGAGCGGTCCGAGCGGCGCTCTCATGCTGGCATGAGGATCGTAGAGCTGTTGAAGGGTGGTCTCGCAGGGTAACCGTTAAGCGCCGCCGGGGGATAGCCCAGCATGTCCACGTGAGGTCCCGCTGGTGGATGATGCGGTGGAGGATAATGCGGAGGATAAGGACCGACGACCGAGGCCGAGACCAGCGGTTTGCTGGAGCTCGACGGTTTCAAGCCACCGGAGCCAGAACTGCTACCACCTACGGTATCGTCAACCAACCTTGTTATTCTCTCTCGACGCTCTACCGTCTCCCCGTACGCTACACATCAACTGCCAATGATTCGACACCGACCTGCCGACGTGGGTGTGACTGGTTTCGAGATCGGTGTCGTCGGCTTTTCGCGTTCCTCCATCTTCTTGGCCGAGGGAGTGCTGGCGTTGCTGCTGGTGCCGCTTCTAGGCGACGGCGGTGGCACCTCCTTTTTGACCTGACCGCTCAGAGGCACCGAGGACGGGCCCAGCTTATCCAGGCCGTTCTCTCGCGGCGACGCGGTGCCGTTCGCCGCCGGACTGGTCGGACCCTCGCTCGCGTCGTCGACCACCAGGTCTTGGTCGCTCTTTTCACCATCGCTTTGCTGTCGGGGAGAACACGCACGGCTTTATTAAGGCGAATCACGGAGCATGGAGCACCAATATTGGCACCAATACTTACATGGCCTATATCCTTGTCGTGCTCCTTCTTCATCTTCTTCCCAGTCATATGCAGATGTTCGTGTTGCGGATCGGGCGTACTGCGAGGCCTGTATTTCTCTCGCTCCGCCGGCGATATCGAATTTCTCTGCAACACAGACAATCAATATATTCAGCGGGGTTTTTAACAAAGTCGTTCGACGAAAGCGTTACGATTTTTATCAAATCTCTTAACGACGCAACAGAGATACGATCGGTCTCCTCTCGTCTCGCGCGATTAATCCGATTACGGAGATTTGCAGGATTTATTCGTCCGAGATTTTTTTTACGGACCGCGCGATTCCGCTTCCTCGATAAATTTCTACGGAAATCGTATCGAGAAGGACTTCTTGCGGCCGATGGGGGATGGTCGACGGATGGAGGGTAGAACGACTAAATTCCTTCCTTCCTCTTTCGCGATTAAATAAAACGACTTTCCCGTCGGATGGGTGAAAGAGGTATCGACGGAATTACTTATCCCTCTCGGGCCCGTTCGACCTCCATTCGCTTCGAGGTGAACGAAGAATAATAGGACGGATCTCGTATAGAGTTTTGCTTCTTTCTATCTTTTTATGCACGAGTAGCGAGAAAAACATCAGCATGCTCGTTTCCGAAAGCAATTCAATATACTGGGTGTCCTGAACTCTTCAAGTACCTTCTTTTTCATTTCATCGTATCTTTTCAATATAATTGTACTCTTGTGTACTGGTTAAACAAATTTTTTTTTTTTCGAATAGAGATCTAATTAAAGAAGAGACCTTGCTTCAAGTTTTTATCGCGGAAATATATTTCATTTTTCTTATCTGATTTGTTAAAACTTGATTTTTTATCGCACATTAAATAAAATTATTACTATACTGTTGGACCCCTGTCTTAATTATTTCGAAGAGTGTATATATATTGCTTATCAATATTTTATCTTCCTCGTTTGGATGATAAAATAAAATAAAGAAGAAGGAAACATCAATTGACAATTTTCATAAGACATGGAAAGATGCATTTTTCAAAAATGCAAGAAGGATTCAAATCGAGAGAAACCCTCAGAGTCCGACATAGCAGGACGAAAAGTTTTACGGAGAGCAGTTTCGTCGTCGACAGAGTCCGTATACCTCTATACATATATGTGTATATATATATATATATATATACGCATATACTTATATAAATGTGGCAGAGCCCTTGTACCCTGTCTCCGATAACTGCGCGTCCCATCTCGCAACCCCGTAAACCTCTCCATCGCGTCCCCTCGCAGTCGGTGTCGAAGTAAATCTCCTCTTCTCAATTACCCTTCGTTTCTCATTCACTACTATCGCGTCGCCGTCGCCTCTCTCGCTCTTTCGGTCCATTACGTCGACGCCTCGGTATCAACCCCTCTCTCGCGGTAGAGAGACGCCCGAAGAAGACGCTTCTCGAGCGGAAAGAAAGAAAAAATAGGATCCCGAAGAAGATGTACGAATCCGCTCGCGAGTATCTCCAGGCGATTAACGTACGAAATTACATTCCGGCGCGATATCGTACCGCAGTGTCTTGTCAAACAACGTCGAGATATCGCTCGAGAGAACGAATATAAAATCCCGCGACGTGGAAAAATCAAGCAATCGTGTTCTTCCGTTCGCGACGACGATATAGCGGGACGGGAGAAAAGCGAAGACAAAAGCCGAGGGGGATGAACAGGGGGGGAGAGTTCCGCAAACACGCGCTCCGTTCACGTCATGAAAGATTCTCGGAAGAAAAAGATTCCCCAGGAGCCGTATTACGTGCCTCTTTCGAGTTTTCCTTGCGAAAGAAGTCTGAGAGAGGGAGAAAGAGAGAGATCTTTTTCTTCCCCGACCTCGTGGAAGAAGAGTAGTCTTCTCGTTATCTGGAAATGGTCGGTCACTGCTTATCCGGCTGGAATCCACTGAAGCGGACGAGACAATTGTCGCGTCGCTTTTGAGACGATCTTAGAAAATAAGACGCGCCAGAGTAATCCAAAATATCTTTCGATTTTATCGTCGGTACAAAAATAACTTTGCGCTACTTTCTATCGACGAGGTATTTTTTTAGCTCAAGATACTTTAAAGCATATTTTTGCAATGTCTCCCCTTGGATCGCACGATCTAAAAGAGTCGCGGATTTAATTTCTGCTCGAGATGAAAATGTAGAACATTTCTGAACGTTGTAATGATAAAATATATTTAAATAATTAAATCAATCGATATACGTGTATATTATATTTATTGCTGTTTAAAAACGGTGGGATTGTATAGCCGCTGCGAAAAGATTCGACGAGGAAATCGCGACGTGATTCAGTTCTCTGAAAAATCATGCGAAAACGTACACCATCTTTCGCCCACAGTCGATATCGCTAGTAGTAATATGTATCCGGAAGTCTCGTCTTTCGGAAAAGTAAGCGCATCCTTTTTCTCCTTCCCGAGACGCCGATAGCTCGCAATGTCGTTTCCCGTATCTGTTCTCTCCCTCGTGTTGCGTTAGTGTGCACGTGTGTTTGTATATGTGTGTGTGCGCGCAGTACATACATATATGCATGTATGTACACATACGAGACGTGTGTATATATATCTCCGCGAAGAAATGATACACACGCGGCCCGCCTTCCATTCACGTAAGTTTACTTACACCTATCCCGTCGGCTATCCGTACCACCTTCTCCCACAAAGAGGATTCGTGCCACGATCAATATGGGGGTTGGTACCCCTGGGGAGGACGAGGAAAAGGAGGGAGAGACGGTGGAATGTAGGAGGAGCTGCGGGTATACCGTAGATATATAGACTTTGTAGTGTTAGGGACGACTTGGTCCGCAAGCAGGCAGGCAGGCAAGCAACTTGGCAAGCAACAGCAGGCACCGAAGTACAGTCAGGGGTGGCTCTTTCGAGGGTGAGACGAGAGAGGGAACGGCGAAAGGAGTATACAGAGGGGGAGGGATGGAAGGAGGCGACGGCTTTGGCCGTGTGCATAGTATTGGGGTTGGCGGTCGCAGCCATGAGGGTGGTAAGTGAGTGAGCGACTCCTTCGCCACGGCGCCTCGTCTCGACTCAACCACCCTAACCTTACGGATATATCCCAAGCCGCCGACCGACCACCCACCGTCCTCTCTCTCTCTCTCTCTCACCCTCTTACAGCCGCTACTTACTCGCGCGCTCTCACCCTACGTCGACCAACCATCTCCGTATCCTCCGCTTGCTTGCTTGCCTGCCTCTGCCTGTGTGGTGCCTGTTTCCCTATTCCTCACTCCATCCTCGTCGTCGTGGCTAGGACCCCGAGAGAGAAGGTTACGAGCCGGAGTCGCGTCTCCCAAGACCCCGCAAACCCCAGCTGGTACAAGATTGCACCCAGTGGCTCTCAGCAGCGTCGTTGTCATCGTCGTCGTCGTCGTTCTCGGAGGAACGCGCGCCGGAACGACTAACATCGAGAAATTGGGATTCCGCGCGGAGGCGAGGCGATATCCGGGAGAATGACCATGGTTGATGGACATGGTTGAGGGACTTTGCGGCGCAACGAGAGATGTTCGATTAATGCATCTCGTGTCGCTAAATCTCAGGCTGTCGAGCATGTCGGAGGAAAGCATAAAAAAAAGATTCCGAAGTAGGTATATCGACTTTGAGATTGACATCGCACGAATGACCATGAGACGTCTGTATTTCCAATCAAACTTTTCGACATTTGTATTTATCTTTTCGCTGCAGATATGCCATACGTCGGTTTAAATCTCGGACGAGGAGATAACCACGGTAATATTGCGTCTTCAAAATTCGACTTTCGACGGGATAAACATCCGCGGCATTTATATTGCGTTGCCGCCTGTCCGTTTCGCGGTCTCTCGTCAAACTCGCTCGAGAATAAACAGCCTCGAAGCATTCAATGCCCGATCGCGATATTCGCTTCGCGATTTCGCATCGGCCGATTAATTTAATTACCGAACGAAATCGCGAGCTACAACAACATCAGCAAGATTCATGACGGGATCTGAGCGCGCCCAATTTCGGGAGAATATCCGCAGCTTGCATCGCGGATGCATGGAATTTTTATGATCGCGTCGGACCGGTAATCGGTTCGCGGAATCTGCCGCGTATATGTCAGTGGATCAATCGGTGCGCAACGGCAATTAGTGCACGCGCGAATTTTTGTCATCGGAAGGACGACGCGACGTTTCCAATCTCTCTGACAATCAGCTGATCTCCGCTCGCGACGAGAACAAGCAGCTCGACGCGACTCGCGCGCTTCCACGCAAGGCAAATCGCATTTTTTTCGGATTTTAATTATAAACAGCAATCGCGGTAAATTTTCCTAATAAAAGCTCGTTGCTGGAATTTATTCAATACAGACATTATTGCTGCCGCTTGTCGTAATTCTACACGCGGATTATCCCCGTCAAATTTTCAACGGAAGAACGAAGCGTTCTCGCAATCGGACTCGCTCAAATTGGACGACATATAAATAAAGCTCACACGCAACGCCGCGAATCGGACCAGACATTCACGACGCTATGATTTATGACGTCGCCGTAAATAGCAAAGTTCCCTTTCTCTCGGCGCGTTACTCTCGCGTTGTGTATTCTCTCTCTCGTGCATCGGTCTCTTTTTCCCGCGTTCGCCCCCGGAGCGGCAGAGTCCCGTGGTGGAATTTGCATTTTTAAATTAACTCGCGTCTGTTTGCAGCTATCTCGGCTCGCTCGGTTCGGCGCCGCGCTGCTGGGCTCCGCAATTTTATGCGGCAACGCGCGTCCCATGGCCCCCGCGTATACACACCATCATCTCGTCGCTCGCGTTCTTCTTTCACGTATATAGAGGTACGTACATATATATAGGCGCTTCCATCATGTGATCGATAGTGCAACAGTTATCGTTATCGTGCCAACGAACCGGCGGTTGCGGCGAACGCGTTTTCGGTCCAAATTCGGTTCGCGCGCGCGATAAAAACTGCGACGAAAAAAAAATAAATAAATAAAAGACAGGCAATTTCTGTTTTTTTTTTTTTTTTTTTTTTTAATGAATATATAACTTTAAAAAATGACATTTTTGAACAATGTTATTCTCTCTCCATCCCTCAGCGATCGGAGCCTCGAGGCTCGGGTAACGTTCCCCGTCCTTATACGATATCGATCGATCG